ATTAACTGGTAGGCGAATGAGTGAATTAGTGACTTAATGAGTCAGCAAGGGAGTGAAGAGGACTGTGTAAAATTGAGTAGATCATGCTCTGTGCTCCCCATCTAATCCAATAAACGGTGGTGTAAAGTTTTCATCTTTATTAACACCAACAGGGGTTAAGGAGACTGCAGGAAAAATAGTAGACTACCAGCTGGATGAGAAAGATTCTTTGTTCATTTCCTATGGCTGCTTAACAAATTACTGCAGAGTTACTAGCTTAACATGTATTTATTGTCTTGCATTGCTAGAGGTAAGAAGTTCAAAATGGATTTCACCGAGTCAAGGTCAAGGTGTCAGCAGGGCTGTACCCACTCTGGTGGCTTTCAGGGACAGAGCCTCCTTCTGCTTGCCCTTTTCCAGCTTTCACCAGCTGCCTTCATTTCTTGGCTTGTGGTCTCTTTCTACATCTCAAAGGCAGTGGCAGAGCCCCTTCATATCTGACTCCGATCCTTTGCTTCTGTCATCATATCTTCTGTGACTCTGACACTGTTCCCCTTTCTAGTCGAAGGACCAAGTGATTACATCAGGATCCCCTTGGATAATCCAGGATAACTCTCCATCACAAGGTCCTCCTGGCAATCTTATCTGCCAAGTTCTTTGTGCCCACTGAGGTAACACTGAGGGTTTCGAAGCTTAAGATGTGAATAGCACTGAGAAGCATCATTCAACTGATGAATCTCACTCCACAGAGCAAAAAAGGCAGGAGGAGGCAGGATGGAGGAAGCATCAAAGCTTTCACTGCATGCCGGTGACAGTATTGGGGCTATTATGCTTCTGTGGCCTGAGCGTTGGGATTTTTTCAGTGTAGGTGATTAGAGCAATCCTTTGCCAGAGATATGCCAAGGGCTGAGGCTGCTGGAGTTGGGACAATCCAGCCCTACGTTTCCTGGAGGTGACAGAGCAAGAGCAGAGCATCTTGATGCTGGGGCACGTTGTCATCTAAGAGATTTTAAAAAGAACCTTGTCATTTAAAATAAGAATTGAGTTGGAAAGATTATGCACAAATTTTGTGGATACCCCTCACCCAGCTTTGCCAAGGTGTCTCTCCTAAGGAACATGCATGAAAACTAAGAAATCAACTTTGGCACAGTACTCCTAGTGGTGTGAGGAGCTTTATTGGGCTATTCCCAGTTTTCTACTTTTTGTTTTTGTTCCAGTATCCAACTTAGCATCCCTCATTTGAGTTCAGCCATCACATCTTAGTTTCCTCCAGTTTGTGTAAGGTTCTTGGTCAGTTTTATTTTCTCAAAATCTTGTCACTTATAAAGAGATCAGCTGTTGGACCTTGAATTTGGGTTGTCTTAATGTTTTCACAAATTTGACATGAGTATGAATTTGGGGCAAGGATACTACCAGGCTAAGATGGTCTTTATTTTTATTTTTGGCACTGAGGATCAAACTCAGGACCTTGCGCTTGCCAGGCAGGCACTTATGCCACTAAGTTATCTCTGTGGCCTGAGACACTCTGATTGTGGCATCATAGAAAGGGGGTGTAGAGTAGCTCATTGTTCCTGCTACCCAGGAAGATGGCACAGCTGAGGGGGTACCTGCCAGCTTGCTCTGCTGTAAGGACATCTTTGTCCTTCTGCCGTCCCTAGGTCCAGCCAGGTGGGCCACCTGTTTTACCTTCCATCATTTTAGCCTGGCTAATGATCATGGCTTGATCATTCACCTTGATGATGGCTGTAAAGAGCTAGACTAGTCCAAATTCACCCAGTAATAAAAGGCCAAGTTAAACTTTGAATTTGTCTCTGTCTGGCTCCAAAAGCCAGAAGAAAAACACATTACTTCCACCAAAGAAACAGGTGCTCGTGGCCTCCAAGGGAACTTGTGTAGGCAGTTTTTTTTTTTTTTTTTTTCACATCAGACCACACACTGTGACCCAGTAGTGCACTGTGAGATCAACCTGTGGGATGGATTGTACCACAAAAAACAAAGTAGAGATTAAATTTATAATAGAAAATAAATTTATCACTCGGGTAGTAAGTATAGAGCCTTAAAACTTGCTGCTTCTGTGACTTCTCTAAGTTTAGCTACTTTCATCTTTACACTGGGAGTAAAAGAATCCCCCTGTAGGGTTGCCATGAGGATTACATGAATTGCTATACACCGTGTGCTCATAACAGGCTGGCACATATCATTTGGTAAATGTTACATATGTGTATGTAAATGAGTGAGATGACATAAAGTATTTTTTAATTGTAGCTTGCAATCCATAATTTTTTAAATGTATCATCATATTATCTCTAGTCTAGGAATCAACAAATTCATGACCTCCAGTCTACAGTTTGTTTTGTAAATAAAGTTTTATTGACATAAAATGGTGTGCTCCTTTGTGCATTATGACTGCTTCTGAGCTACAAGAGCGCAGCTGAGTATTTACCACAGAAATGGTGGCCCACAAAACATAAAATACAGATGTTTTGGTCCTTTGTGTCCTACCTGGTCCTCTGTGTCCCTATCTCTGCCTAGAACTCATGTCTCCATGCAGGATATTAGATATCTCTTTCCAAGCTTTGGTGCCTCGGGCTGCCCCACTCCCTGGCAGTCACTGCCCCTGCAGACTGCTCTGGACAATGTGGCTGCAGTGCTTGGGTCTCCAGAGGCTCAGTACCCTTTTGCCTTGGACTAATGCCTACATGGTGGAAGGCCAGAGCTATGGTAGTATGGTCAGTGTCCCTGCAGGAAACAGATGATGCCTCAAATTAAAATGATTTGAGGAGGAGCTTTTAATAAAGAGATGATCTTCAAAGGAAGTGCAGGGTACAGGACAGTCACAATACAGGGAAGTGGCAGAGTACTCAGAGCCAATAGAGGTCGAGCTGTGACCGGCCTAGGATGGAGGGGGCAGGAGGAGAGTGAAGTTTAAGATTGAGAGTCATTGCGAGAGGACAGTTTGAGAGGAACAGAGACTTCTGCAGACCAGAGAGGAGAGTCAGTTCTAGGTGACCCCACAGGGAGGAGCCAGGAGAACAAATACCTCACCCTCACTGTCCTCCGTCCCTGATTTGTTGGGGTCTCCCTGGGTTAGTAGGGACTTTGGTGTGTCACCAAGGAAGAAATCTGGGTAGAGAAGGGTGGAAGGGGAGAGCGCAGCAGCAGCAGCGGGCAGCACTCACCTAGACGGCCAGGCAGACAGCCCTTCTCAGGCTCCCGACGACGACAACGACGACGACGACGACGGCGGCAGCCTCCCCACCGCATCAAGTCTGCAAGTCGGTACTTGCCCTGGAGCCCCTGCACTGGCACAGCACTCACCTCTGCCCTTTTTCCTGGATCTGCCTGTCCCCAGATGGATGCATGGCTCAACTTCCTGGTTCCTACCTTCAGGAGAGGGGCGGAGGGTTACGCAGAGGCACACACAAGTTTGTGAGTGTGTACGTGCACACGTGTGTGTCTATGTATGTGCACACACATGTGTGAGCAGAATCTAAGATGTGTGGACCTCAGCCAGAAGTCCTTCGTCCTGTCCCATCTTTTAACTTCAGGAGCTGTGTCCCCCGCATCTCTAAAGCCCTGCTCAAGTTCAACAAACAAGTGAGCTAACCTCTGACCTCTCAGAAACGTTAAAAGAAATTAGGAAGCTACATGTCCCCAGAGTGATCTGTTCCATTGACGAGCACTGCCAACTCCACTAAGCCAGACTTCTACGGTGTCTGTCTTACAGAGAGCATCCCTTGCCGAGGTTTCCCTGGAAATGATCACTTAGGAGAAACCACAGACTCACAGGAGGAACACGGTTCAGGTAGCGCAGCTATGAGTCAGGCCTGGGAACTCTACTAGGTTTCTATCCCCTACAGGAGCCAAAATTTGAAGTTAATCTTAGAGCCCTGTGAACGGACTTGGCAAAACTTTCCAATGTGATCTCGGGTTAGGCAAGCCCACTCAACAGATGGACCCTCCCCCCGAAACTGTGCGCAGACAGAGTGTAGCGCAGGTTGGAACCGGATCGGCAGCTCGCGAAGCCCACACTCCCACCTGTTAGTAACTGTTGACCTTCAGCTTGTTACTTTTTATGTTACGGAAACTTAATGTTCTCGTCCTATATACATTTGGCACCATTATCAACCAGGAAGTTGTATTAAATTTAATCCCACGTGAGACTGTTGCAGGAGCCAAAGGCAATGTTTTTCTTTTGCCTCCAAATGGAAGACTAGTGAAATATTTACACCTACTTTTACAAAAAGCCAGATGCCAGCTCATTTGTGTGTAGCTCTTCAGAGGTTTGTGCTCCAGCCCTAGAAACAGGGACCCTTCCCTGGAGGGGGGAGACTCCCGACAGGCTAAGAATGATCTCAATTATATGGATGCAAGTATAATTAAAACACCTCAAGTTTCTCCTCCCTCTCTCTCCTCAAATTTCTTCAGAGAAATGAAGGGTTCAGACTCATAGCCCAAGTGCTCCGGTTTTAAATTAGACAACTTTGTCCTGACAGCAACCGAGTCACAGCTGTCATAGCTGATTATTTTTAGAGTTACTACTAAACCCTTTGTGTGGCGTGAGCTGCCACTGTTCAAGGCAAACAGAAAGACTTCACATTTTATCCTGACAGCTCTGAGCCAGCCACCTCCTCCTATTTTTTATTTCCTGCCTGTCTTTGGGAGGGAGGAGGGGGCAACCTGACAGTCTCACAGTGAGGAAGGCAGACCTTTGTTACTACACCCCAGGGATTTAAAGCCCCCAAAGTTGAGCAAAACCCATTGCCTCCAGGAAGCCAGGGAGAACTCCCAATGGCAGCAGCTGCTACAGAGCTTTCTTTGGAGAAATCATCCTCTCTCCTGAGAGGTACAGACAGATCCTGGAGCAGCCATCCAATAAGGGCACCCATAAGCAAATGATTACAAGCGCTGGCCAGGATTGGCCAGCTTGTGGGGATGTCACAATTTCCCTCCTCTGACCCAACAAAGCCTCCACCACTGAAAAGGAGGACCTCGGCCTGTGGCTCTGGCAGACAGAAACGTTCACTGCCAGCAGAGCACCTAGATTGCTCCTGGAGCGTAGAGACAAAAGTCTCTGCTGTCCAAATTACAGTAACCAGAAAAAAAGACAACATGATTTTATGAACATGGGCAAAGAAGTACAGCCTAGGCCCAAGGCGAACGTCTCTTCTTACATCCACTTTTTGTTGAATTACAGAAACAAATGCAAGGAGCAGCAGCCAAATACCTACCTTGGCTTTAAAGAATTCTCTAGAAAGTGTTCTGAAAAATGGAGAGCCATCTCAAAGCACGAAAAGGCTAAGTATGAAGCCCTGGCGAAGCTCGACAAAGCCCGGTACCAGGAAGAAATGATGAATTACGTGGGAAAGAGGAGGAAGAGGAGAAAGCGGGACCCCCAGGCTCCCAGACGTCCTCCGTCATCCTTCCTGCTGTTCTGCCAAGACCACTATGCCCGGCTGAAGAGAGAGAACCCCACCTGGTCTGTGGTGCAGGTGGCGAAGGCCACGGGGAAGATGTGGTCTGCAACTACAGAGGCAGAAAAGCAGCCGTACGAGCAGAGAGCAGCTCATCTGAGAGCCAAGTACTTTGAGGAGCTGGAGGCCTACCGGAAGCAATGCCGAGCCAGGAAGAACCTCCGGAGATTGGCTAGAGGCCAGCGCAGAGGGAGAACCCGGGTCAGACAACGCTGAGGGGTCCAGTTTGGAGAAATAAAGGGCTGCTGAACCGTATTGCCTGGCTCTGGTCTCATGAGTGACATTAGGGAAGCCTTCCTAGCTGTGTTGTAGTGGGTTGCTGGGTGGAGAGGTTTGGGACTGAGGGGTGATCCCGGG